TCCATCGTGAGAAAGTTCGGACCCGTCCGAACTTTCTCACCCACCCGATATAATCCCAACGGCGGACGAGATAAACGCGACTGACTTACGCTGCCATTGATGGAACATTGAGAGAGAGAGAGAGAGAGAGAGAGAGAGAGCCCCGACCGCCAACGGAAGCTCCTCCTATCGCATCGCGCGAAACGATACGGGCTTCCGTCTACTCGCTAACGGGACAACGCCGTTTTACGACGTCAACGTCGGGGTGCATCGTTTGCATCTTATCCGTGCGTGTGTGTGTGTGTTGGTCGTCAGTGTCTCTCGGATATCGCGCACACGACGATCTTATGTTTTCTCGAACGCGGACGTCTCTGTATTATGGCGATGATTGCAACTGTCCGATTAACTGCGAAATTAATTGCTAACTAATTCATATCGTTAAGTGTGACACGGCACATGATGATACAATCACGTGAGACCTTACGGCCGGCCTCTGGCCGGGAAATCGCGCAGCGTCGGATTTTCGATATCGACCCGATGCTGAAACAACACGCTATTGTCCGGAGTTCGACCGCAGCCGGCCAGTAACCCGGTGATTGATTATTGACTGCTCTTAGTCGCACATCGGCCGAAAGTGAATGTCGCGTCCAGCGTTTCGTTACTTGTGCAATCCTGACCGATTCCGTCCGGGCATCCGTCAGGATGTCGTGGCAGGCCGCGGATCGTTCCGACTCGTTTGTGTCTAATTTCTCGAATGAGGCGTACTCGCGAGATTTGATATTTCATCGACACTTTCGTCGCTTTCCATCCTCGTTATGTCGCGAACGTCAAATCGAGCAAACACGTGTCATGACAAGAGCACGCGCGATCAACGCGTGCAGCGCGAGATGCCGAGAAGAACGACGCTTGAATCGCGTCCGCACGTCGATTTTTCGTCGAGATACGGGCGTCCAAAGAATCGGCAACTTTTTATAGGCGGCGGTGCCCCTTACGGGTGACCGGCAGCGCGCAGCGTGCTACATTGTATTGGGTTGGCAACTAAGTGATTGCGGATTTTGTCGACAGATGGATTTTACACTTTCTTTTGTTTCGTTAACGTGTTCAGAGTACCTGACCTATATTTTTTTCTTACTGTTTGGACTTCTACCTTTCATCTAGTACGAAAATTATATCGATTAGTTCTTTAGTTTTGTTTTTACCCCAATTAAAAAATGGAAGAGCAAGACGTGCACTTCAGACATATTTTATTGTATTATTTCCGAAAAGGCAAGAACGCCGTCGCAAGCACACAAGAAGTTATGTGCCGTATATGGGAATGAAGCCTTGAAGGAAAGGCAGTGTCAAAATTGGTTTGCCAGATTTCGTTCTGGTGATTTTTCATTGAAAAATGCTCAACGATCTGGCCGTCCAGTTGAAGTCGATGAGACCCGTATCAAGGCCATTATCGATTCAGATCGTCATAGCACAACACGTGATATTGCAGAGAAGCTCAATGTATCGCATACATGCATTGAAAAAAATTTAAGAAAGCAAATTAAAAATTTTGAATTTTCATTCTTATTTAAAATCCGCAATCACTTAGTCGCCAGCCAAGTATAGTACGGCTGCGCGTTGAACTTCACACCTCGCGGTGGCGCGCAACATTGTAGCGGCCGACGGCCGGCATCTGACGATTCTTCCATTCGCCGATATCTCCGGTTAGAAAAGTCGTAGAGACATGAAAGAAAGTGCGCTCGAAGGCAGGGATCGTCGCGTCTCCGACGAGGTGACAGCCTCTTATATTATCGTCGAGTTTTGTGATATCGATATCGATGGTTGAAAGCGAAATCTAATATTGAAAAATGTTGCACTTTATTTGTCACTTGATCCGTCTGAATTGATTTCTAAATTTTCGGCAAGTCCGTCGAGTCTTTTTGAAGCTACAAACAAGTCCACGGTTGAAAGCGCAGCTTCAATCTCGCTCATCGCGCGTGGACATCGCTGACCGTTTGTCCGAAGATTAGAGCGATCGGGGCTCACCCCGTGTTTTATTCAGATAACTTTCGCGGTATTTCTGCGAAAGAGAACGACGCGAAGATACGCCGGGGAGATACGAGAGACGGAGAAACGGAGAGAAAGAGAAGAAGCTTCGCGCGTTCTTTCACAAGTCCGCCGGCCCGTCCGGGGATGATCGACGAGTTACTCGGAACCGACGTCGATAAATCACTGATAATCGCCTTTTTCCCAGCGCGCGGTCGTCTTTGTTTTCGCCATTGTGTAGATTTCCAACGGCGCGCTGATGTCGGCATCCAGGCGCGTTACCGCGTATAATTAACGTTTCCTTCTCTTTTACCCTCCCTCTCTCTCTCTCTCTCTCTCCCTCGCTCTACCCCTCAACACCGCTCGTGAGTTCGGGCTTGGAAATCTGCATGCGAACGTCTGAATGCTGACGTACCGCACAAACCGCGGCCGCGACGATATTCTCCGCTCCGCGTGCTGCACGTGTACGCTCCACGAGACCAGTCTGCTGTCATCGTTAGCACGCACGAGCGTGTTTGTGCGTTTGTGTGTGTGTGTGTGTGTGTATGTGAGAGAACACGATCCTGTGAATAAACCTGACGAGCGAAACTGGGTCGCGCTCATGTCACAGCCGTGTCACTGTCATCCCGCGAACGGAAGAGCGAACGGAAGAGCGAACTGCCGATCGGCACGTTGTGAGCGTTTGTGTCACAACAGATTCGTTGTCACCTAAACGAAAAAATCGGTCGATTAGCGGCGTCGCTTTGAGGGTGAAGGTTTCAACGCGCTCGAGTTCGTCCCGCGTGCGTTTTACGCCCCTCGAAATCGCAGTCTTGGAACATCCACGGAAGAGACACACGAGTAGTGACGCACGCTGAAGTCGTGAACACGGCAGAAGTCCGTGTTCCATGTTTTTTCTTACGTTTCGAGCATTCCCTCCACAAATTCCCGCCGCTGTTATCGCGCGGTTTCTGTCTCGTGCCGAGACGACAATGACCGCTCTCAACTCCCGCGAGACCTCCCGCGCGCGCGAAATTTTCCCGCGACCACCGAGTCACTTTCCGCGCACGGCCGAGCGCAAATCGACCTTCGCGCTCGTTTAATAGCCGCGAGAGAACGCTCTCGCCGGAAAATCGCCGGTCAACGTGGCCGATGTTCCCGCGAGATCGCGGGAAGCGAGCGTCCCGATTTCGCGGCGGATCAATTTAGCCAACAAGAGCGCCGACGCGATAAGGTCGAGCCCGCGAGCGCGCTCGCTCGCGCCAACCCGCAATTAGCGTCCCCGGTGAAACGTCTTATAATCGCTTAATAAGCGTCCGTGTGCAAATAGCGACCGCTAATTGGATACACAGTGCGCGCGCGTCGCGTGGCCACGCGCGCGGCGCGGCGCGGCGGCGGCGCCGATTAGCGGCGCGGTGGCGACGAGAGCACCGCGAGAGAGACTTCCCAATATGCCGGTCGGCGACGCGGATACTTCGCGGGAAAACTCCGCGAGACTAACCGGTTTAACGAGCGGCACTAAACGTCCGCGGGTGTAAACGATGGACTTTTTCCCGCGCGCGCCTCGACAGAGAAGAGCCGCTCGTGTTAATAATGCGCCGGCAGTAATCAGCGTTCGTTGCATTGAGAGGCGGCGGAGGAGAATGAGAGAGAGGGAGAGAGAGAGAGAGAGAGAGAGAGACGAGGGAGGGCCAGACAGGAACGGCAAATCGACGCGATGATTTACGCTCGATTACATTTTCCGCGAGATCTCCGCCGCGCCGCGCTGCGCGGTTCCGCGCGAGTGAACGCGCGCGGGCGCGCTCGGCCGCTTACTTTCGATGATTTCCGCGCCGTCATGAATAAGGCGTCCGGTATTCGCGCCGGCTACTCGCGGCAGTGACGTTATTTAAAATAGCGAGATACGTGAGATATATATATATATTATTTGACGTTTGCGCTGCTCCGACGACAGTAGAAAGTGCTCTCCGTCCAGCGAGCGAACGCGACGACGACGCGCGTCGAGGTGCTGCGCGCATCGCGCATCGGGATGCGCGCGCTCGCGCTCGCGCGTTTCGCCGCTCACCTTCGCCGTGCCGAGCCGGGAGAGAAGGTGACGAGGGGTTAAAAGGTGGAATTAGAGGGGGCCTTTCAACCGAAGGTCAAGCTCGCGGGGCCCGGCGGAATAATCCGCGGCTCGTTTCTGCATACGTGCACGTGCACGTGCACGTGCGCCGCGCGCGCGTACGCACGTGCGTCGCGTCGCGCCGCATCTCGCGCGTGCTTCGCAGCGCGATTGATCGATAAGCAGGAGGCTCGGTTTCGGTAGCGAGAGCGCCGCCGCTTCGACTGATCTTTGTATCTCTCGTAAAACGGGTATTAATCGCGGAAACGTAACCGACGCTCTCGGAGGAGGCTCTCGAGTAGCTTCGGCGAGTTACTCGACAGAATTACCGAGAGAGAGAGAGAGAGAGAGAGAAGTGTTTTCCGTTCAGCAGCGCGGCGCGGCGCGACTCTACTTCACTGAGAGAAAAGTATATGATATTTGGAGCTGTAACGATATAGTAACTAAATTATAGTCCGAAATATCATATTTATAGTGAGTGTTACCATAATATCGGTAATAATTACGATATAGGCATGGTATAACCAACCATGTGATATTTTTACTAAGAATTACAGCAAGTTAAACTAAAATTATTGCATGGATACAAATATAAAGTGGTAGGTAAAGTAACTCTTTTGTATAGTCAATATTTGCTAAATATTACAGAATACTCGCTGAATGATGACAGATGTAACTATATGAATATTAAATCTCACTATATTTGTGAATGAGAAATTACCATATACGTATGTGGTAAAAGTAAGTGTTCTACTATGCAGGTTCCCACGAGCTACAAAAATAATGGTTGGCGCCAAAACGAACTATAAATTATCGTGAGATCATAGTTAATTCAACGATATTTCTCCATCGGTGTTGCGGTATGCGGTCATCATCAGGATATTGCGGTACTAATGATTGCCTCGCGCTCTTGTTTCAGGTAACAAAAAGCGAGTGGACGAGGTAGCAGCGCCGAGGTCCATCCACGACTTGCCGGAGGACGTCCTCACATGCGGCCTGACGCTTCCCGGTGAGTTTGCAAATTTCACACTTTCCTCAAAGATAACTTTTGTCATTGGAAGAGAAGCGGCGTAAAGGTCCGCTGCGTATAAATAACGTCGAAGAGAACAACGGTCTTGAAGCAACCTGAGGAGCAACCACGCGAGTTGAAAGCCACTGCCGCGCCGAGAGAGGCCCCGCGCTTAATAAACGAAGCAACGCGCGCAGATCTCCATCTTTAAAGCACGGTGTCTAGCACGGTGTTCCGTCGTCGCGGGGCTTTGTGTCTCGCGCGTTTTAAGCGCTCCACATGAGGCGACACGCACGGCGGAAAGGCGAGCAAGCAACACGCGACCCAACAATGCTGGAGACTCGCTGGTCGCGCCGCGCCGCGCCGCGGAAGATAACAGCCGGTGACCGCGGAGGAGTATGCGGAAGCTGGGACACACCCACCCACTACGTAGGGCTCTCTTCAGCTCGGTTCGCACGCCCCCGCATCTTCTGGCCGTTCCGCGCATCTATTTACGTACTTGTCGTGAGGTCCTCGGCTAACGCTCCGCCGCGCATTGTCCCTTTCTCCCCCTTTGCGCGCGGCGAGGAAAGGCTCAGCTGGCTCAGCTGGCTGGATCCTAACTGCTGGCGGGTACCTAACTGTATTCCCGTGGTTGGCGCAGTTGTTGCGCGCTCCGCTGCCTGTCGCGATTAGGTCGCAGTCGCGTCGGCCCGGCGCGACAAGAGCAGAGGATTAATCCGCGCAAATGCAATCGCCGCCGTAAAGGCGGACGTTTATTTATCCCGCAGCCGAGTGGGTGGTGTATCGCGGTAGGTGGATAAAGTTGTCGCGGTGGGGAACAAACAAGTTTCGGGCGTAGCGCGAACGCGCGAGCGCGCCGGGATAAACGACGAGATGAAAAGACGCGCGTGATAACCCGCGCGAGATACAACCGTTACAAGCGTCGGACGAATAATGCCCGGGCATTCGGCTCTACAGCGGCGCTACACACCGCCGTTATCTCGTCATTATCTCCCGCTAATAAACTGGGAGGCGATATCGATCTAGCGGAGAAGAATTAAAGCCAATGCGTGTGAGATCCGTCCGAGATAGGCCGCGCAACGAGGAAGTTGCCTCACCTTGTGAAGGCTCGCCTTAAGTCGACCGCCGTTCTCCTTTTTTTTCTCTCCGCTTCCCCCTCATTTTTCGGCGAGAGCTTTCAGCCAGCTCCTAGCCCACGCGTCGTCGTCGCTCCTGCAAGGCGTCCTAAAAACACCGTGCGTAACCGGGTGAAAGGGAAAAGCGCGCTCTCCGGCCGCTTTAATCGCAACCGGAGTCTACAGGATTTATGCGCGACTCTTTTGTGTCTCGATTCGAGCTCGCGCGCGCAGCAACGTTAACGTTAACTAGCCACTTGCTTGAACATGAGCTACACGCTCACGATTCACACGCCTCCGTGTTCTCATCCGTGTGTTCATCCATTTATGCGACTCCTCTCGTGGAAGGGCCAACGGTCTTTCCCTCTCTCTCTCTCTCTCTCTCTCTCTCTCTGTCTCGCCGTCTCGAACAGACGCTCCTATCCGCGTTTCTCTCTGTCATGTATACACACACACACACACACACACACACACATATATACCGTATTCTCTTTCGTACTTACCGCCACTCCTCTTCCCGCTACCTTTTCCTCTACCGGTGCCGCCTCGGCCTCCGTGCTCCCTTGGAGCTTCGTGTTTTTCTTCGTCGCTACCTCCTCGTCCTCCTCCGATCTTCGTGGCTCGCTCTCAGCTGGCCGGATCTACGGATGTCTAACTGTATCCCGTAGTTGGCGAAGCTGCCGCTTTGTCGCCGATTAGCTGAGACCGGGGCTTACGCGGGCAGGAAGAGGCGACGGACAACAACTCGAAGCGGGGGGCTCGCGCTTGCGCGCACGTACGAGGGGAGAGATAAACGGTAAGAAAGGCTCCGTGCCGCCGGTTGTCAGTTTTAATTACGGTAAAGCGTAGGCACGCGGTGTTTTTTGCGGGGCTCGACGCGATCGCGCGAGACCCTCTCTCGGCGGTAACGACCGGAGCGGATCGCCCTTCCGCGGATAAGTAAAGGCCGATTTACACCGGCGGCCCCGGATGTCGCGCGAACAACGTTAGCGCAGTGGCCGAGACGGTGTTCGGCTTCGGCGGCGGCGGCGGCGGCGGCGCACCTTTGAATATGGCCTCGTGTTTGCGGAGGAAGGACTTCATTTTCTCTGGCTCTGGCAATTTTTAGTCCTTCCCTCTCTCTCTCGAAATATCGCGCCCCCGTCCCCTTCATCGCTTCTGCCTCGCCGACCGTTCTCGGTCAGTCGCGGAAACTTGGGTCTCGGTCAGCGAGTCCTCGCGAAAGCGTCTCCGCACACCTCACATTCCGGCGGCCCTTGCTGACTTTCCTTCCCGGTGGTCGTTCCTCGCGTGTCTCGTTAGAGAACCTCTCCTCCTTGCCTCTTCCACGGTCCGCGTCCGTCGATTCCGCTCTCGACGCTCCTCGACGCTCGCGGTGCCGCTCGCTCGCTCGCTCGCTCGCTCGCTCTCGTGTGCTCGCCTCGCGCTCCATTCCGCCACCTTGATTGCGACAAAGCGCAACGTTGTTTCGTTGCTGCGCGCGCGCGCGGTGATTCCGTGGGATCCCGTTGGAAGTGCCTCGCGGCGCACGGAGCGAAGGCCCGCTCTGCTCGTCCCGAGCGCCAGGCCGCACGCCAGGCAGATTTCCCGAACCCGACCGTCTCACGTCTCGCTCGTCCACGGATTCAGCGCGCTCCTCTAATGCCTACCCGTGCCCTACCGTATGATCCGTCGTCCGGTAATGCCGGTGCGGTAAACCCCCGGCGAGAGCGAGAGAGCGTAGAATTGGCGAGAAAGTCCGTTGACAATCGCCGGACGGAAGCGCGCCGGCCGCGGCCGGGCCGCTTGAAGAAATGTAAACGCTGTCTTTTGGATAATCATCTATTGTGCCAAGTATTCGACGAAACTGCACGGCACACTGGCTGGATTTTACGTGCATAATGCACCCCCCCCCCCCCCGCGTGTCTGTTTACTCTGGAAATAACGGTGCACTGATGCTGCTAGTCGTCGATCGCTCTCTCGACTGAAGACGTAAAGTCTTCAAGAAGAGAGAGAGAGAGAGAGAGAGAGAGAGAGAGAGAGAGAGAGAGAGAGAGAGAGAGTGTCTCTTCGGTAGAAGAAACGGAAAGGCGCAGAGTCGCGCGTTTGTGGATTTTGATTGTCTCTCATTGATTGGGCGATGAAAAAGAGAGAGAGAGAGAGAGAGAGAGAGAGAGAGAGAGAGAGAGAGAGAGAGAGAGAGAGAGAGCGCATACAAGGTGTGTGAAACATCCCTCGCGCTGTAATTCCGCGCCGCTGAAAGTATCCGGTCGTTTCGACGGGGGCCACGGGGTTCGCGTATTAGCGCGAGATACGTAAAAACACGCGTCGAAATATCGCCGACAGCTACACGAGCGTTAATTTATTCTCCGGCCACGTTACGTGAGTCTCGCGGCGTATGAAATGGGTCTCGGTACGTCATCCGAACGCCGCCGCTGCTTCCTCGTCATTGAGACTCGCCGCGTTCCTCGAGCAGCTCGCGAGATCCCCTCGTTATCTTCTCTCTCTCTCTCTCTCTCTCTCTCTCTCTCTCTCTCGCTCTCTCGCTCTCTCTCTCCTTTCTCCCCGTCGTTTTCTCTCCTCTTCCCACGGATTCCCAGCTGAGAGAGGAATCGCCGGGTACCTAACTGTAATCCCGTAGTTGGCGAAGAGGCTGCCTGCCGCCGCCACCGCCGCTTTGTCGCCGATTAGCTAAGTTGAAGCTGCGCCGGAGCCTAAAAGAGACGGCCGATGAGCAGGAAGAGGAAGCTCGCGCAACGTCGGCCGCGTTTACGCCCGCCGGGCGAAGAAGTGCAAGTACGACAAACGACCGACCGCGGCCGAAGTTCAAGCGGCTCTCCGAGAGAGTAACCGCGCATCGGAGAGTATTAACGAGCTCGCGAGCGAGCGGTCTTTGCGGGCTGTCCGGTATTTTCTCGCCCGGCGGTTTCCTCTTTTTCCTCCTGCCCGCAGAAGGAGGAGAACGGGAAGTCCGCGGGAGCGATCCGGCGCGCGCGCGCGCGCGCGCGCGATAAATTTCCAATCGCTCTAATTCGCTGTCACACGTGCGCGCGCGTGATTAAATCGAACCGAGCCGAGATAGTCCGCGACCAGTTAGCGAGAGAGCTCGTTGCCATCCGTTGACTCAATCCGTCTACTCGATTAGACGCGCCGGCATAAATTATCGGAAAAGCTTGCCGCGTCGGGAGAAATCGCCCCGGCTCGATTTATGCTAGGAACCGTAGATTTATAAGGTAGCTCTCTGCGCGCGGCGCGTACACGCTCGCAGCAGGTGAGCCAGATCGTGTGTAATAGAATCCGCGGGAGGGCAGGAGGGGAGTGAGGGCGAGAGGGACGGAGAAATTGTACAGGCCGCTTCACGAAGCTCGGCTGGCGAAACTTTGCGAGCGTGTGTCCTTCGGTGAATTCGGAGTCGGCTCTTCTCCCGCGCGAAGAAAGAGAGAGAGAGAGAAAGCTCGAATCAAAGTCCTCTCTGGAATCGATTCAATGTTCTCAACTGAAGCTACAACGAGACCGTTTCACGCACGCGAATGTAGAATGTAGAGAAGCCGCCTCGTTGTCTCCAGGGAGAAGCAGAAGACACTGACGGGCTGGCCGGCAGTTTTCGCGCTGAATTCGCGCATCGATTTCGCTGAGGAGAGATGACACGATCGACGGCACGCTGATTGAGCAAAAAGTCCGCCGGCGACTGCGCTCGGCAGCCGGTGTATAAACGGGCGCGATATATCAGCGGGATAACGGGCTGGACATCCTCGTTAAATTAGACGAGCGTACGACGACGAGGTCGAACGGCGGCGTAAATCGCGACACCCCGAGAGAGTATTTACACGCGATGTGATTTACGATTTTGCGCGCGCGCGCGGGGCCGCAATGAGCCTGGCCGATCGCTCTCTTCGCGGCTCT